TGAGATATGGTTGACTGATGGCAAATTCAAGACATTTCCTAAGTTATTTTATCTATTGCTCATCATTCATGAAAACTTATCTGGCGATTGTTATGTCTCATATCCAATGATATTTATACTCATGTCTGGAAAATCTACTGTATTGTATGATAAAGCATTGGAAATGGTCAAGCAGCTAGCAAGAAATCGTGGAAAGCGATTGCGTTTAGCACATGCACTTTTGACTTTGAGAAGGCAATTTCAGCGTCATTTTTAAAAGCATATCCTCAAGTTAATTACAGTGGATGTTTATTTCATTTAGACCCAGGGCATAATCAAAAGAGTAAAAGCCTTTGGATATTATAGAGATTTTCTTCGTGATCATTCATTTTACTTTGAAATATCGTTCTTGATATCTTTGGCCTATTTAGCTTATGATGAAATTTTGGTATATTTTGAAGACTTATATGTTACATTATCCCAAAAAGCACAAAAAATTGCATCTTGGTTTGAAGTCAATTACATACAAGGTAATAATGGAACTGCACCAAGATATGATCCAATGTTTTGGAGTATTTTTGAAAAATTTTCAAATGGCAATCCAACTACACACATAGATTGCATTGTGTGTTTGACACAGAACGACAACCAATTTATAAGTTCAATAATTTTTTGAAAAAGGAATTCATTTCAATTAAAGTTGATATAGAGCAGGCAAACCACAAAAACACAGAATGCCGGGATTTGAAAGAACTGAAGATGTCGTTTTTAAATCGTCGACAATCTATAGCACGTGTTGAGACACTAAAAGCTCTTGTAAATGTAAAGAATAACTTAAGGCCATAATTTTTTTATAATTATCTTTTTGAAATTTTTACTATAAGTTTTTTGAATCAGCAATTCATTTGAAGAAGCTTCAGTTTGAATTTCAAGGACATTTTGTAAATTTCTCTTTAAAAGGTTATCATAATTAGTTAAGAAATGCCAAAAATTTGATGGATCATCAACCAGTTGCTCGCTAATGTTGTAGCCCATTAAAATTTTAGGACAAAAAATTTATGATTAAGGAATAAGAAATCTGCATTATTTTTCAACTAATCATTTTGGTGATTTTTGTCTTTTCCTTTCAACTGACGAATCTGAGCTGAATCGACGTTTTTTTCTTTAAGGATTTATCAAAAGCATACCGACTCATGACTCTGAAAAATTAAATGTTTTCAATTAATAAGTAAAAAATTAGCATTTTGAGCAATAAGAAGGACAAAAGTTGTAGTTTTTATTGTGGAGCAAAATTATGTTTATTTATAGCAAAACAAAAAACAAAAGTGAAATTTTAAGTCAGTTGTGTCAGAACAAATTGAGAAATTATTAAAAACGTGTATATTATGTCTAAAGAATTTTATGTCCATGGAAGAAAGTTACTAAATAAGATTGTTCCTAAAGAATAATATCCAAGAAAGTAATATATAATGATTCTTTGTGTCCAATTTAGACGTTTGATGTCAAAAACATTTACTTGAATATCGCTCGTTGAATTATCGTCATTTTTCTTATTGGAAACATTTGAAGTCATAAAATAATTAGCACAGAAAAAATAGAGCATTGGATTTGATGAACATAAAAGTCTGGTCGTGACTTGAACGTGAATGAAGAGTATGCAAAATATGCAAAGAATTACTGCATGAGCAATAAATACAAATTGATTTTGATCAGATGCTGACGTTTTTCTTAAAATGGACTGACGTAAATTAAAAATACCTAGTCGCCAACAATAATCTTGATTTCTCAAGAAAAAGTTAAATGAATTTACTAAAATGATCACTACAATGGGTGCAGCTAGAAGAAAATTTGGTATTTGCTTAAATTCATAATACTTAAGATATCCGACATTCCAGTAATGTTCTTGAATATAGGAATATGCTATAGGAAAATTGTTTTGACACCAATGGACTGCACCATTTGTTGCAGTACGATTTCCTGCTAATACTAAGTCGTACTTAATTGCAAAATCTTTAATGAAATCCGGAAAATTAAACGATTTTTTAAAGCAAAAAAGATAGTAATTGTACACTTGCATTAGTCCAAAATGAAATGCTATAATTATGAGGATCGAAAATATTTTCAAAAAGATTGTAATAAATGATAGAACAGTGTTTTGATTAAACATTTTCTTTAGTCCATAATATACAACAAATCCTATATTAACCAATCCGTTTGATCGGCATAAAATACTAAGACTTAATGGCACTACAATTAGCACTGAATTGATATCTTCAAAGCATTTTAACATTAATGAAAAACTAAGCCAACAATAAAGACTCTCTGAATATGGAGCTGTAAAAAATATTGAAGCTGGATTAAAACAAAATAGTATTGCTGCAATCTCAGCCCGTCTTTGATCCTTTAAAACCTTCTTTCCTAGTTCATACAATGTATTTGTAGCCTTGACAAAGAATATCACATTTATGGCCACTCCAATCATGAGCGATATTGCACGAACTGATAGAAATGGCACAACATTGATTAAAATGTATCGTATGATTTTAATGCACAGTGGATATAATGGATAGAATGCCAAATTGTTTTCATAAGTATAGCCATGTTCTGATATATGCAAAAAATGCTCAGAATCCCATCTTCGGAAACCTCCAAGTAGCACATCTATCACTGTATCACATTTTTTCTTTTTGCTTAAATCATATGGTGATCTGAATGCATCTTTAGCTTCATGGTCGCTAATTATATGATTCGAAAAACATTGAAGAAAAATTATAAACAATCGACTAAAAATGGCTAGTTTGGTTAAGTTTGTTGGCATTTGAGATATTTAAATCAATCAGGAACTGGAAAAAAGAAAAGATCACAAAGAAAATAATGTGATAAAGTTGATAGATGTTATTCAGTTAATTTAATTATTTATCGAACTTTGTATATAAAAATCTAAATTCAAAATTTTGATAAGTTTGAGTTTATGTAATAATGATTATTACCTTATTTTAAATGTTATTCATTTAATTTATAGTAGCACTTAAAATGACAGCTTATGGGAACACACTTTGTCTCAAATATACTATAATTCAATTTTCTTCACTTTGATTTGTTTATTTTAGCAAGCGCTTTAATCTTCATTGACTCCGAATTAATTCTGAGAAACAAATAGGTAAAACATATTATTAGTCATTTCAATAAGATTTTCTGTACAACAATAAGCTAGAAAATAAAAGAGAGATATATTAATTTCATAATTAACTTGCCAAGCAGTTGACATTTAATAACAGTTTTGGAAAATCAATTTTTTCTTGACCTCCCAATTTTTCTATTTTAATATGTAATTTTTGTTTGGAATGAGAAAATTTATTTGAAAATTAAAAAAGAAAAAACGGTTGTGTTTTGAGTATAAATCATTTACTTTTATTCAACATATCAATCATAAAGACAAATGTTATTTTTACAAATACATAATTATATGGCAAGAATTTTAAAAAAGAAATTAATAATAATTGAGGCTCTGCAAATAGAAATGAGAATTAAGCATTTTTCAGTTATCAGACTATATTTTCTATTTCTTTGTTCAAAAGTATATCATATTATATAGGGCCTCGTCGCAGATGAATTATACGTTAGTGACGCTATGTATTGCTTAATTTTCTCCTAATCCTTACAAGGGACCAATTTCAAAACTACTTTTCCTAATAGGAAATGAAATTTCCCATCTTTTGACATAAATTTTATCTCCCAAAGTTAAGCAGTTGCTTCAGAATATCACTTTAAGTAAGCGTCACTCACGTGTAATTTTTGGGAAATTTTCCGAAACACTTTTTGTAGCTATTTGTGTGCATTCAAGTGATGTTTTCCCGAATGGTCATAGCTAAAATAGTTGATTGTCCATATTTTTCAATTAAATTAAGCTTAATTAAGAAAGTTATAACGATTTTAAAAAGTCAAATTAGAAATAACGAAGTAACGGTTTTAAATTTTTTGAATTTTTTCTGTCGTGAGATGTTTGTTTACAAACAAAAATTGAAATGAAATTTAAAAAATCATGAAAATATCACTCAATAATGATGTTAAAGCTCTTAAAATAGGCAGAATAGCTAATGTATCATCTACTTTTCGTAATCATATCATAATATTTGGGAATAATGATTGAATAATAAAGATATTTGAGGATTTAATTTTTGATGTTTTGTAAGAAAGTGTTAGTGAATTTCAAATATAATTTTTCCGTTGAGCAATAATCCTAGGAAAATCGTCAAGGCCCTATATTTTTGGAAAGGTCTTGATTTGAGGGATACAAAAAACTTAATTATATTAACCAATTTTATCCAGGGTTGGAACACAAGTGCTCAGAATATAGTGAAAACCATACTTTTTCAACGCTCTTTTTCACCTAGTTCCAGTTGGTCAAAAAATATTCTTTTTTCTATTATTTGTGATAAATTATTAACTAGAAACATGTTTTCAATTAAAAAATCAGAAAATTTGATTAAGTATCTTAATTTTTAAAAAAGTAATTATATTGTGGTTATCATTGAAAATCACATATAACGTATTTTTAACATTTGAATATTATGTAATTCACCATATTTTATGTTTATATTATTTCACTTTATAATACCTATTCAAGTCCGTTTAAATTATTTCAAAACTCGTTTCATGTGATTAGTTATCCTCATTTTAGTGGATATCCCATATAAAAGTTGCCAGAGTTGAAAAATTCATATTTCTGTTTCCCAAAGTTGTTTTTTAAAAAACTCTATATTGCGTTTTAGTATGTTATTTTATCTATTTAAAAATTATAAAAGCATATTTTTTGACCAACTAGGTGAAAAAGAGCGTTGAAAAAGTATGGTTTTCACTATATTCTGAGCACTATATTCCAACCCTGGATAAAATTGGTTAATATAATTAAGTTTTTTGTATCCCTCAAATCAAGACCTTTCCAAAAATATATAAAATTATATACTTTTGAACAAAGAAATAGAAAATATAGTCCGATAACTGAAAAATGCTTATTTCTCATTTCTATTTGCAGAGCCTTAATTGAGTATGAATATCTTATCACAAAAAAAAAGATAAAACTTTAATTCTTTTGAAGATTATCGAACGGTCTTAAGACGCCTTCTGGACCTCCAAATGTTAATAAAGGTTTCTTTTTTGATGGTAATAATACATTATTACTTTGAGTGGTTGACGCATCTGAAATTGTAGTTTGCGCAGAATTTGGGCTTAAAAAGCCAATGGCACCACCAAATGAGCCTGTGAATTTATTGGTTGATCCTTGCGTTGGTTGAATACTATTTAAGGCTGTACTTGATGTCGGTTGAACTCTTTGGGTTGAAACTGTTGGAATGACTCTATCAATTTGATTATTACTCACTAAAATTCCAGGTGAACCACCAAATGTCCCAGTATACTTATTTATTTTGCCATCCTGTGAATGGACTATTTGGACAGGAATCTGTAGTGGAGAAGATGTTGTTATTCCGCCTAAAATCGTACCCTCAAAATTCGTATTAAATTTAGACGGGATTGTCGATGATGGCAAAGCATTATTGGATTGGATATTAAAATTATTTGGAACGGGATCTTTAGGTGGTAATAATCCATTAGATGGTTTTGGAGCAAATAATGTTTGATCATCAGTAATCAACACAGGTTGATCCTGTTTTGGATTCAAAAATATATTATTGTTAAAATTTGGTTGTACTGATGTTGGTGGAGGTAAAAGTCCTTGATTCAGTAAATTGTTGCTTCCATCAATAGGTGTTTCATGGATATCAAGATTTGGTCGAGGAATTGAAATTTTAACACCTTCAGAATTTGATACTTGAGGTGGTAGCGTAACAAATGGCTTGTTATTAGAATGTTGGTCAAAAGGAACTTCTAAGAATGTTGATGGAGGTGCGTTTGGTAAATTTGAATTCAAAACATCATCATTGGAATTTATTGGAGTTTCAGGCAGATCAATGTTGGGTCTTGGAATATTAATTGGTGGAGATTGTGAATTAAAGTCTGGTACGGTAAGTGATGTTGATGGTGCATTATTAAATGTTTGAAATGAGTTTTGATTGAGTGGATCAACAAAATGTATTTTGTCTTCGTTTGATGTTCTTCCTTCATTATCATTGACCGAACTTCTTGAAGGAACTTCATGAGAATCTAATATTCCACTAGCATAACCCGGAATGACGTATTGTGTAGGATTATCTTTATTATTGCTTGGTCTTTGTGCATTTACATCATCTAGTGAATCATATGCAACAGGATTTCCATAACTATCGGTATACGAACTTCGTCCTCGTATATTTCCATCTTGTAAATGTATTTGGTCTAAGGATCGCAAAGTTTTTTCACCGGATTTTCCATTATAGTTGAAATCTATAAAGATTACTACAGATAGTAAGTAAAGGAAACAGAGACAGAAAAGGACAGACGAAAGTGATGAAGAATGAAAATCAAAGATCGAGAGTAAAAAAAAAAAATAAATACGAAACGATCAATCAAACTTTTTTGTAATGTATCTATTGTATTAATTACGTTTCTAAAAAGGTTAATCAGTGTCGCAATATCTCATGATTCTTTTTTAATTTTTAAAATCATGTTTCTTCTCACAATTTTTGATGCTTTGTGTCTAAAATAATTAATTTCGATTCATAATTTACTTAAATTTATCGCATGTGAATACTTTAAATTAAACAAAAAAGAATTAATTAAAAATCATCATCCTGTTTTTGTACTTACTAAGGTCATAATCACTGACGAATTTTTGTCAGTTACAGTGAAATTCAAATAATTGGCAGAGGTGTTAATGAATTAAATAATCAATGGCATGAAAATTCATTACTGATTTGTATATTGATTATAGGTTTTGTTTTTTATGACGTCTACGCAACTACATGTTTTATATTTTCTTTTTAAAGTATTTGAATACGTCTTCTTTAACGATACGATGATTGGATTTAATAAATAACTTATTGTTGACAATAAAACCCGTTAAATAATTGTGAACATCCAAAATTGAAGAATAGTGAACAGTTTTGGCAAAACAAATTATAATAAATTAAGAACTCCATTTCAAATATAAATCCCAGTTTTTCAAGAGCCATAATAAATTGGATTTATCATGTTTTTAGTTTGTAGACCTCTTACAAATGTTAATGATCTTATAAACGTTTGAACACGCTTGTGCTTAAAAAAAGATGTTAATTGAATAAAAAATCTCTACTATATTCTTATAAATTCTAAATCAATATACTATGGATAACGGTGAAATTATTATTTTTTTGGTCGTGTTAAAAATAAGAGATAAAGAGTCACCTACATTAAATGAAAATTACTTCGTTCATTTATTTAGGGGTCGTTCACTTATGACCAGGGTGGGTGATTTAAATCAAAAATCAAAATCAAAATCTTTTTGCAATGATTTTAAAAAGGGATTTTGATTTAAATCATTTTACCCAAGTGATTTTTTTCTCGATTTTGATTTAAATCATTTTTGCAAAGGGATTTTTTTTGGGATTTTGATTTAAATCATTTTTGCAAAGGGATTTTTTTTGGGATTTTGATTTAAATCATTTTTGCACAGGGATTTTTTTTGGGATTTTGATTTAAATCATTTTTCAAAGGGAGTTTTTTTTGGGATTTTGATTTAAATCTCTTGTATGAAAGATTTTTTTTGGGATTTTAAAATCCCTCCATACAAAATTTTTGTATGCAATTTCTCAAATTATTTTTCAAATCAACAGTTTTCAGTTGCAGTTCCTCCTAAGTAAGAATGCAGTTGATCCTTTTTCGGACAGAATCTTGCAACTGGATCTTTTAGATCCAATCATTTCTTTAATAAAGGTTACAGCAACCAATGGTTCCATGCTGTTTGACTTATACGAAATCGAATTCGTGATTTTTAATCCTCTGTGCTTGCTGCTTACATGTTAATAACTTGACTTCATCAAGCATGCCTTGATCTTACTCTATATGAGGAACTACCTGCTTTCGATGCTTCCAAAATCTTAATTGTCTTTTATTACAGTACCAAAGTAGTCTACGTTTGTTTAATGAGTCATAATCAAGAATAAGCACTTGAACTGCCTAGTTCCTTTACATCCACAAAATTTTTTTTTGTTGCTTTTTCATCAAGGAATCACCTCTTGAAGTCAAAATTTTTTTGCGGAACTAATCGGTTCCTTTCGTACCTGATGACTGCAAAGTATGTTTATCTAATCATATAAGTATAAAGCATGATTTCCAGTCATATTTGATCATCAGGTACGAAAGGAACCGATTAGTTCCGCAAAAAATTTTTGACTTCAAGAGGTGATTCCTTGATGAAAAAGCAACAAAAAAAAATTTTGTGGATGTAAAGGAACTAGGCAGTTCAAGTGCTTATTCTTGATTATGACTCATTAAACAAACGTAGACTACTTTGGTACTGTAATAAAAGACAATTAAGATTTTGGAAGCATCGAAAGCAGGTAGTTCCTCATATAGAGTAAGATCCAGGCATGCTTGATGAAGTCAAGTTATTTAAATGTAAGCAGCAAGGCACTGAGGATTAAAAATCACGAATTCGATTTCGTATAAGTCAAACAGCATGGAACCATTGGTTGCTGTAACCTTTATTAAAGAAATGATTGGATCTAAAAGATCCAGTTGCAAGATTCTGTCCGAAAAAGGATCAACTGCATTCTTACTTATGAGGAACTGCAACTGAAAACTGTTGATTTGAAAAATAATTTGAGAAATTGCATACAAAAATTTTGTATGGAGGGATTTTAAAATCCCAAAAAAAATCTTTCATACAAGAGATTTAAATCAAAATCCCAAAAAAAACTCCCTTCGAAAAATGATTTAAATCAAAATCCCAAAAAAAATCCCTGTGCGAAAATGATTTAAATCAAAATCCCAAAAAAAATCCCTTTGCAAAAATGATTTAAATCAAAATCGAGAAAAAAATCACTTGGGTAAAATGATTTAAATCAAAATCCCTTTTTAAAATCATTTTTCATTGAGATTTAAATCAAAATCAAAAATAAATTCTGCGATTTTGATTTAAATCGCAAAAAATCTCCCCACCCTGCTTATGACGTCCGAAATTAACGGTTATTTTTCAAAAAAGAACAATGGAATTTCTATTGTTCTTTTCTTGCTGACCCCCCCCCTCCCCCCCCCCCCCTGGACATCATAAGTGAACTATGATAAATTCATGTTTTATATTTATAACGATTTTTTTATTAATTAATTTTTTTTGCTGAAGTTGTTCAATCAAGAATCTCATTCAACTTTGTGAACTTCTAAAAACTCATATTCAATAATAATTTGCATGAAAAAAGAATAATTGTGAATCATACGCGTTAGGAATTCTTTTTATGAGTTGCTTGTTATTGTCGATATACGAGTCAAGGTATGAGTAAATAAGATTTAAAGCAAAAAGTCAGTCTAAGTGGAAATTCCGGACATTATAAGCATTGCTTGAAGTGATTTTAAAGAATTCCTTCTTACTCACAAGTATCGTTTCTTGAACACAATAATATCCTGCAGCATTTTACTGTATTTAAAAGGTCACACAGTTGTATTAAAAATACTTGAAAAGTGACATTACGGAAGAATTTAAAAATATGAGAAATTGAACATAAAAAATTAACATATTTTGAAATCAAAGATGTGAAAATTTGTGAAAAAAAAGTAAATGCCAATTGTTTAAACATTTTTTAAAAAGTTCTTTCGCATTAGTTTTGAACTTCTTTGACTTTATCCTCTATGATTCATTGATTGTAAATCAACTTGTTTAATGAAATATTAATTATTTGTTGTTTAACCTTTCCAGATGTCAATAAAATACGTTATTTTCGGAATTTACGCTTTTTTTTCTTCTTTGCATTTCACTATTGAAGTTTTATTCTTGACCATAATCGGGATTTAAAGCAATTTATAAGATGTCTAAACAAATCATTGCCACAGCAAGTAACAAAAAAAAAATATTCAATGAATCAGTAAGACAAAACTCTTTCGTTAACCTTGAAAAAGAAAATTGTTCAGTCTTATAATGCGTGGTCGGAGTTAAATTGTTGAAATTCCGTGTTTGGTATGAATTGCAATAAATTATTCAAAAAAATTTCATCACTTTTCTTTCCATTATCTAATAAATGTATTTGCAATATTATCATCCTTGTGTCATTTTCGAATGTCGTTTTAATTAATTTACCTGAGCTTTCACGTTGTCGTGGTATTTGCGGAAATGCTTGTACGCCGAGAAGTACAGCAAGAATGCATCCCAATATTCTCAATGACATTGCGCAATCTTTCTTTCTCGTTTGTCAACTTATTTTATCTTCTGTTTTTTTTTAAAAGTATTTCGTTTCGTTTTAATTGTTGCCTTTTTTATTTTAATTCACTTTTTCCTCTTTCTGGTAGAACTCAACAATAAAGCAGTATTTCTCTTTAACCGTGTGATCGTATTGAATTTTGTGGAATGACTGAATAAGCAAATGAAATCATCAGTTGCTTTTTGTCATGACTCCCCTCTTTGCCGATCGTTGGCTGGATTTTTACATTAATTTGTTGTTGTTGTTGCTGGGTTCACACCACGAAAGTGTGAGAGCGAAACAAGAAGTAACTTTTTCATTCAGAGAATTGCGGAGTAAAAAATGAATTGATTAAGAATAGAAAAGAACTAAACATAAATTAAACAAGTTTCAATGGTTTTCTTGCTCATTTACATGTTTGCATCTGATCACGTTGTTTTATCACAAATTACAAGTATAATTAAATGAATCATGTAAACAGTCACATTTATTAGTTATTAATCACTAATCAAAAAATGTGTTTCTTCGTATCGTAGTAAATGTTAAACTATGTTAAAATTTAAATGTCCATAATTAATTAGCAAAACAATAGCGCCTCTTTTTATTATTTTCACTTGAACCAAACTGTAATGGCAGAAGCACCATCAAACAATTTTTGTATCTTTTCAAAGTATCAATCATTGAATAACAATTAGCGTGTGATATTGGCAAATCATGCGTTGTTCATGCCGGTCATATGTAAATATATTATCAGCAGCAGCAACAAATTTGATGACGTTTTCTTTGTTTATACATTTTGTTTCTGTATTGGAGAGTTTCTTTCTCTCATTTCTATATATAGTTCGTTGTTTTCATGTAAAGTGAAGGTCGTCTAGAGTGATGTGGTTTCTTATATCTCCTCTCTTTTTATAATGTGCATTACACTCGCTTGAATTTTCTTATTTAGCCATTATGTTTCGAAATTTTATTGTTGTCAATATAAAAATCTTATGTTAATTAAAGATGCCATGAGACATTGGAACATCAAATCTGTTAGACTTATCCTTTTTAATTTACAAATGATTTTGTAAAATTGACAATAAAGCAGAAATTCTGGGATGATGCATACAATCATTGATTCTCATGCATGCACAAAATAAATTAACAACGATTATAAATTCCGAGAACTTTTTCACATGAAAATTTTAAAATACATTATATGCATACACGTATGAAATGAAGGTGTTATTCATGAGTTCTGTCACGAATTGTTGCTATTTATTTTATGATTTGCACTTTATTAGTTTTTGTGTGCACACAAAATGATAATTTTTAACAAATATTTAATTTTCATAACGGTTCAAATTTATATTGCATATACTTAACAAAGCAAATTAAGAAACATTTAGTAGTTTTATCTTATTCGTGATCAAATGAATCAAATTTTTTTGTCTATATTTTTTTTTAAATTAGTAAATATATTCACATTAAACAAATAATCATACTTGAATCATACCAAGAATTTACTTGTTTGAATTTTTTGTTTCCTTTTTACACTTTCCATTAACACAGACCGTAATTTCACATTGTTTATTGATGCAAACAATTCTTCTTGAATAATAGTTTATGTTTCCGTTATTGGGATCGAATGGTTCTATATCGCCTTTAGGTTCCTTTGTGCTTAAAGGTATTTCTTCATTTGACTCATTTAGTTCAGATAATTCTTCTTTAGGACCTTTTAAAAAAATTATTTTGCCATCATTAATCCATTTTTCTCTGTATCCGCTATACTTACCAGGTCGTCCATATGCAACATTTAATGTAATAAAAATGATCACGAAGGTGATGAAAAATGTATTCATAATTTATCAAGAACTATAAAATTTATATGAGTAATTGTAGTAAATCTGAGTTAAAGACTCAGTGTGTCCAAAAATACACTGTGAATTATTTTGAAATACAATCCGATAGTAATTATCAACACCAGTTACAACGAAAGTAAAACTATAAGGACAAATGAATTTCTTTAAGATAGAGATTTAATGTTATAAGCAAATCTGAGTTGAAAATTTTTATTCAACTTATATCGCTTCATCAACTCAATGTGATTCAATGAAAAATGATACCTGTAAAGTTCTAGAAAATAAGTTTTATATAAGTTGAGTGTAATTGTATTCATAATAACAGTAATTTTGGTAGAAACGAAAATGAGCAAAAATTAAATATTACATCCATATACATAAATTAAGTCACGTATGATATTTTTAAAAATATTTATTATAAAGTTTATAATAGTTTGTGACAGAATATATAACCAATTCCTGTGTATTTTTTTTTTTCTTCTATTATTATTTGTTGAAAAACAGGCATGAAATTGTTGTTACTAGTCACATATGTCACATATTGTGTTTTTAATTTTAGGGGTTTCTTTATTTTTAACAGCAAATAAAATTCACATCCTAAAAGCTACGTCGTTCAGAAACTTCATTACATTTACCGTTAGTACAATTTTTAGTGCTGATTACGCATTCCTTATTCTTGCATTTTGAAGAAATAATTTTTGCATCTGTGAAATAATAATCTGAGTTTTTAGTATCAACTACTGAATCCATCAATCCGAAATTGTCGAAATTGAAAAAGGATTCCAAGTCAACTTTTGGAAAAGCAAATGAGTTGAAAAATTCTGCAAAGTTGAATGATGGAAATGGAATAGGAGCAAGTTGAGGAACTTCAGGTTGATAGTTATTGGATTTGAAACGATTTTCTACATATTCACACTTCCCATTTTTGCACTTTGTAGTTTGCTCTTGACATTGCCCATCTGCACATTTCCATTCCTTTCTAACTGTTTGTAAAAATCCAAAAGAAACATTTGACAAATTGCCTTGACTTTTTTTATCCTTTTTTATGTCTGCTTGAGAACTATATGCTGGTTTATTTGCCACAACTGAAGAAGTTTCAATTTTTTGGGTTGTCGATTCTAGTAGATAAAAAGTTGATTTTTTATTAAAGAAAAATAGGTTTTATTTGGAAATAACACCTTTTTCAATATTTTGTGGCATGCAGAAAGCAACAGCAAACAAAACACTTAGAAACGAAATTTTTAAGAACATCTTTACTGTCTGGATAATTGAATTTCAGCAAAGTAAAAAAGAACTTTCTCGTAAGACTTCTAATTTCAAGAGAACCTTGTTTGAGACTGAAACAAGTTTTAAAAACAACATAATAATGAAAAAATAAAAACAAAGAATCTATAAAGGCGAAACACAGAAACTAGAAAAAGAAGACTTTACATTACAACAACACGCACTATTATATGATTTTGCATCGGAAACTATGAAGAAAAATAATAGCTGAAAAAAGATTACTTCTGTTAAGACTCAAACAAGTCTTAAAAAAGTAATTTTTATCTTTTTTTTTTAATATAGTGTTTGTAATGTCGTGAGAATTGTGCGAATCCTTGTCATATCGACAACACACACTCTATGTAATGATTGAGAGATCGGTCTCTGTTGTGAATCAAACCCACGTCCTCACAAAAGAGGGTAACAAATATCCGGTCTGTTTACTTATCTCAAAGCCCTCCATAAAATACTTAAAATCAAGGCTTCTGCAGATTATAATCTTTAAATAATCCCATACAAAGATTATAACCTTCAATAATCTTTGTATGAAAGATTTTAATCTTTTTAGCTATGAAGATTATAATCTTTAATATTCTTTATAAAAAGATTATAATATTCATTTTTAAAAGATTATAGTTGTAGAGTTTCTTGGTTTTCTTTTTTGTATTGAAAGAGATGGACAGTACATGTTATAAGCAATGTTTGAACTTAAAGTAAAATTTTGAAAAAGGCTTGCAAATTTCGCATTGTTATCACCAGGAGAAGCTATTATTAAATTTGGAGTATACTTTATTAGTAATGGAGCAGGCAGGAAACGATTTTGAAAGCAATAAAATATTCTGGACTTAAAATAATTTGATTTCCTTGTTGCGAAATTGGATGTCACAAAATTTCTGACCTTAACAGAAACTCAAAATGAAATTATATTCTTCACAAAACAAAAAACTCAGTCTTGGAGGAAGTGAACAAGTTTTAGTCAAAAATTTCTGAAGTTTTTCATACAATCTTTAAAAAGAAATTAAAAATGCATCACATAGTCATGCATCCAACATTTAAGAGAACTAAAGTAAAGATATTCATCGGATGCATGCAACAAGAAATTAATTATTTTATTCTGCTTTATTAACACATTAAAATTTCGAATGAAATTGAACATTTTATGATATTTTGCCACAATATTATTATCTAACGACTAGAACATTTCTTTTAATTTTTTTTCATCATCATAAATTCCTTAATTTCCATCTTACATAATTTTATATTTACACAAATTTGTTTGAAAAGTTTAGTATATTAAACTTCCTTTGGAACCGATGCGTTTTGCAAAAATAATTATTTTTTTTTTGACTTTAGTAAATTGGATGAAGCTTTGAAAATATTTTTTTAAACTTGTGGAATATCTTCTAAAATTCTCTCGATGAAAACGCCACTAATTGTATGTTTGAAGAGATTTTCCTAAAAAATTACTCTTTATTATTGATTATTTCATAAAAATGTTCAGTATTTCTTACTTGCAAATGCTGAATATTTCCTATGACTTTAATCTGTGGTAATAACAGCAGCAAATGACCTAATCGCAAGCCGCCACATTTTTCAATCAGGAGACATAATGTTTGGTTTTGTAACAATAAAAGTTGCTGGCTAACTGTTTGATCGTCCATTACTGTTCCTCGAAAAAGAATTAATGCTTTTATGCAGGCAGCTTCAAAATGATCAATTTTCATGAGATGAAATTGCTTTATAAATCCTTGCATTTGTTTTAAGTATTGTGAATTAAATGTAATTTCATCATCAACTGATAATCCCCATTGTGCAGAAGCCACAATAAATAATTCGGTCCAACATTCATTAAGTAATTTTTTCTGGTCCGTAATTGGAAGTTGATTAAATGAAGGAATTGATTTTGCCCATCTTATAGCAAGGAAAAGAATTTTCGTTGCTGAATCATAAAGTGATTGAGCTGATTTTAAGTGACATGTATCATTTGGTGACATAATTGGAATCTCCTCAGAGCTTGTTACTTCATTTTCCTTTGCATTTTTATCTCCACCTTCCGCTTTGTGTTCGAATGTTATGGGCACGCGCGAAAATAAATTGTTTGTTAATATTTTACCAATATCGTGATCGTAATTTGTCGTTCCAGAAGCCATCGGTCGATAAATACTTTGATTTATTTTAATATTAAGTGATTCCGCTAAATGCGGATAGTATGGAGTTGGTAAATGATAATTATCGAATGGAAACGATAGAGGTGCAGTAAGATGCATCTGAAATGGGAATATTGTTTCAGGATAACGAGAACCATAAAACGCTGTTGAGTAATTTAATCCACTTGGTGACGATGTATTTGACATTTTTGGTGCTCGCTCGTGCTGAACAGCTTTAAGTAAAAGTAATAAGAACAACAATAACTCTTTAAATGATTGTTATCCACTTCATTATACATAAGGACACACGCGTTGACAATTAACTTGTTTTTACCCACAATTATTGTTGAAGTGATTTCTCAACCCCTAGTTGAATGTTTACAGTATATGTATGGTAGCAAGGACTGCCTTTTTTTACTGTCCATTTGACATGTACAGACGATGAGGGGTCGAATAACATATTTCATTTTTCTCATCATCAATTTGTAAATATTTAAGGAATCAATCTATACAGTCAGTGCGTAGATTTTGAACTTTGTGCGGAACCGCGTCAAATGTTTATATGTTACATGACTTTTATTTTGTGGTGGTTTAAAATTTCATAGATATCAATAAGTTTGATATCAAATAAAAACGAAGGGTATATTTCGTCAATGCGTGACAAAATTCAACATATGGTCCTGACAAATAAGGTACACAGAATTTAGATTGGTAAAAAAATGTACCGACAATTATTATGCATAAAAAAAATTCTTACCCTCACTTTTCAAATAGGACTCTAAAATTTTGCGATTACATAATTACATTCATATTGAAAAAAAAAGTTTTTTTTTAACTCCGATGAATAATTGAAATATTTAACAATATTGTTATTGTAATTTAATTCCTTTTTTTATTCGGAAGTCTCTTTCAGGTGTTAACGCTCTCATGACTGTAGGCATAAATGACATGTATTTTTTTTTTTATCTTTTTCATTGTCCCAAACGACATTAAATCAATGACTTAATATTTGAATAATTAAAGAGATTTTCTATTCAACTTTTGATATGTCGTGACCTGACTTTGCGGTTTTTGTCCCTATATGCGATGATGTTATGTGTGCCGAAAAACATGTTCAGTTCACAATCTAGAATAAATTTTCTTGTGTTTGTTTTATAAAAGATGTTATGAACAGCATATTGAAAAGACATTATTAAAAAGTCATTTTAAAATGATTTAAAAAGTTTAAAATAGATTGATGGATATTAATAAAACTTTCTAATATATTTGTTTTTCCTTTCCAACTTTTTATTTCTGTAAATCAATAATTCTAGACCTCCATACAATATTTGACAAATTACTTAAATTTTGTCAACAACTGAAGTGCATTTTATTGCAATATCCTTTGTAAATATTTCTATTTCTGCAAATGACACATGACATACATCCAAAAAATCTCATCCTTTTTTGCTTCCTCTTTGCAAGCAAAGTTAATCGACATTTATTGAATACTACACACCCCATTTAAAGGACAAGCAATAATAAGTGTGGTACTTGATATCCATAATCATAGTAGCAAATAGTCGAAGTATGTTTATGCTGAACATCACAATAGAAGCAAATTGAATCATGGCACTTGAATATCTCAATTCCATTTAATGTAAATATTATTCAGCACTTAATGGAACATCAAAAACCATTATTTAATGTGAGAAACGATACATGTCGCAAGAAGGAAAGATAAACTGACTAATTGAGTATGATTGTCAATTCGTTTTTTTTTATTCGTCCATATTATAAAAACCTTCATTGTGGTTTTTCAATTTTCTTTTTTTTTTGAATTTAAAATCTCTTTTATTTTGCTAGAAAAATTGGGAAAAATCTATGTCATGAATAAGTTTACACATACCTTCACGCCTCATATTGGCTTCTAAGCATTTATTGAATCTGCATGCTTGGCATTGATTCCTTCTTGATACATCTACTATACATTTTCCTCCTTCCTTACAAACATATTCCAGATTTCTTTTCGCAATAAATTTAAAAGAAAAAAATTATATTACTTATAGGGTTAGGGGCTTATTAAGCTTAAATCAAAATAACTTCTTGAACAATTTAAGGTAGAGAAGCGGTCTGTCGTTTATAATGACAAATGGAGAGGTTTTGAAAATCCTTTTCTTTAATGGCATCAATTTTATGAATGATTGCCAACTTTTCTATAAAAAGTTTGGCAGATAACAATATTTAAATAGTATCTTAATCAAATTAAATTCGTTTTTTTTTTCTTCTCTTTAACAGTACAGAGCTAAAGGATTTGTTATAATATAAAAGAAATTGTCTTATCATTTTCTGTTAAAATATATTCAGTAGTTTGTAAAGGAACTGACTGGTTTTACATACAAAACAAGTTAAATGCTCATACTTTTGTAACAAATGCATCAAAAGCTTAGAAGAATAAAAAAGTGATTTTTTTGGCTTTCTAGTAGCTTAGTAACGAGTAGTAGCTTAGTAACGAGTAGTAGCTTGGTAAAGAAATTGAACTTCAATAAAAATTTTGAATTTTTTAACTTAATTAAAGAAATTTTGCTATCTTCTCGATTTTATTTCATTGACAATGTCATAAGGCATTGAAACTGATACTTACAAAGTTGAAAAAGATCGATTAAACTTTATTTTTGGTAGTAGCTTAGTAAAGATTACAAAAAATTTTCAAGTTCAAAAAAACTTTACTAAGCTAGTAGCTTATAACGAAAAAACAGGGTAATATAAGTCACTAATATTTCTGTAAAAGAGTTAGAATTAAGTTTAAATTAAATTGAGATATTTAATTTTTGAAGTAATTCTTTAATTATTCAATCGAGGCTTCTAATAATCTTAAAAGTTATAATTGAAATCATAAGGTTCGAATTTTACCTTCTAATGCTCCTTTTGAAAAATCCTCTACAGCCATCGCATGATGACACTCCATAATGCTTTCCAGATGCTCTATCACCACAAACTTTACAAAGAACTCCTGCACCACTATATCTATTTTCAGACATATTCATTTAATTATTTTAATTTTTAATAATACACGCTTTTTTAAATTTTACACAAATTTATTAATCTTAACGATTTTATGTTAAACAAAATTTAAATATTGTGTCCTTATAGTAAGACTATTGCACAAAGAATGATTGAACATGATCAAAAAATTATCGGAAATCAGGAAATGTCTGATTAATTCTATAAACATGAGCAATGTAGCATGTCCTTTTGACTTTACAAGTGTTAATGAAACAAGTTCGTCTCTGTTAATAATTTTTATTTTAGCCAATCATTTTCTTGTTGCTAGCAAATCAACCATTTTTTTGGGCGGAGCATAACGAAGGATGAAATGATATTTTGTTAAGTCCTGAACGAAAATAAAATTTAGTTGTAATTCAGCATTTCAAGTGATAACATCATATGACATTTTCAAAGTCCAAATAACATCAAAGTATTAGTTCTGACATAAAAGCAAATGGATTAGTGCTTCAAAATATGAATAGGTTGTAATCAAAAAAGAAGTAAAATAAAATCAAAGTAACGATTTTTGACGATGTCATTGATACATATTTCGTGAGGGTTGATAAAGTGCTTTGAGCTTTAAACTAAAGATGTCCAATTTTTACGTGACATTCCTTCTTTCACGAATCTCTCCCTAAATTCTTTAATAATAAGTGGCTAGTTTCAATAAAATCGAGATCCTATGCTAGGTTAAATTCCAGCTCTTCTTCTAAATTACTGAATATTCATGGATTCTATTAGTGTTATAATGTGCTTATTATAAATATGTTTTATCCTACCCTGTTTTTTCGTTATAAGCTACTACTCGTTACTAAGCTACTAGTGACCAAAAAAATTCAGTTTTTATTCTACCAAGCTACTAGCTTATAACAAAAAACATATTTATGGGCCTCGACGTTTTTTTAAGAATTTTTGCTTAACGGAAAAAATAATTTGAATTTTTCACTAACACTATCATACAAAACATCAAAAATTAAATTCTCAAAATACTTATTTATTCAATCATTAATCCCAAATATTATGATTTGAATACGAAAAGTAGATGATGCATTAGCTGTTCCGACTATTTTAAGAGCTTTTACATCATTATTGAGTGATATTTTCATGACTTTTCAAATTTCATTTTCGATTTTGTTTGTAAACAAACAAATCACAACCGAAAAAAATCAAAAAAATTAAAACCGTTAAAAAAATTTTAACTTAATTTTGTCCATCTGGGTATGTTAATGCAACAATTTTAAATTTTTTATAAACTCAAAAAGAACAAAATTAAATTCCGGACCTGAAAAAATACATTTGGAGATATATCAATAAACAATAATGAAGATATAGCAAAATTCCCAAAAATTGTGCGTGAGTGACGCTTAGTTAAAGTGATTTTTTGAAGTAAATATAAAGTTTTAAGAAGTGAATTGTACAACAATAGATAGGGATTTTAATTTTCTTTTCAAAAAAGTAGCTCTCAAATTTGTCACTTTTGAGGATAAAGAGATAATCAAGAATTGTGACGAGGCCCTTATATTTTGAATTTTGTTAAAGATTTAAATTATGAATATACTTGAGTAAGAGATAAATTTTTAAAAAGGAATTTAATTTCATCATGTCTGATAATTTGATTAAGAAATACTTAATTTGCTTGACGAGTATCAAGCAGTATGTATTAAGAGTCCGAAGATAACGGTTTTTTTTAAAATAAAAAGGAACAACAATTTTTGTCATAGCTTATTTCCCTTCATTAAAATAAAATAAAAGAATAGAAATAAAAATAAACTCTTATTTGGCTGTTTACAGAATTGATTATGCTACAATTAGTAAAAAGTGTGGGGTAAATAATACTAAGCTTGTAAGCAACAACAACATTCATTGTTTACTTGTATTTTAGGTCATTTTTGCAAAGATCCACACATGTACTTTGCAACACATCTTTAATAACTTCTAATGCATTGGCTATTGAACCTAATACAGCTTGGAGTAAAGTTTTTTTAAGAACAAACATCAGAAATAATTTTCCTCGAGCCAGAGAAGGTAAACGAGTAAAGGTTCATGGATGGAAAACACGCCTGAGTACTTTAAATGGCAAACAAATATTATGGAGGAGAATACTGAAAGGAAGACATGTTTTAAGTCACTAAGCAAAAAGTTATTTTAATTTCTCTTCTGTATTTATTCGGTAATAAAGAGAAAAATAAATTTTAGCAATTAGAGTATGTATAATATGATTTGCATTGTTTTAATCAAATTTACTTATTTAAAACTTAATAGCCAGTCTTGATTTGCGAGGATCAACAACAGAAGTCGGTTTTTCTGACTGTTGTATATCTTTCTTTTCGTGTACAACTTCTGTAGCTGGCTCAGACAATTGAGCAATTTCTGACTTTTGTTCAGTCTTTTTGAATTCTTCAATTGCTACAACCAATTTCTTTGTACCTTGTAAAGGATTTGATGATTCCTTTCCTTTAGTTGACTTTCTGGCTGCTTGTAACGGTATGAATGGATTTTGTTGATTGGATTGTGCACCCATTGTAGTGCCTGGCTGCTGCTGATATTGATTCTGTCGATATTTTCCTTGCTTATTACTCGTAATACTATTGTTATTGTAAGAATTATTGTAGAATCGCTGTTGTTGTTGTAGTTGTTGTTGGCGCGGTTGTTGATTGTTTGCAAAGTATGGTCCAACTTGATGCTCGTTGTTTTTAAAGAATGTCTGCTGAGGCTGAGTTATGATTGGAGCATTCATCATTGGCATTGGTTGTTGCATTCTTACAGCCCCCCTTTGTTGTGGATAAATCGGAATTGGATGTGGAAAATTCATTTGAGGGAACGGAGGCGGTCGTACTACGGTGCTGTTCCCATAGAAAATATTTTGTTGATTTATCGGTTGAACAGCAGCTACTGTTGGCATTTCCAATTTTAATCTTGGCGTGATATTAGCAATAGGAAATGTTTCTTCTTTGCATTCAAGCCATTCTTTTGGTGGTGTTGGAAGTTTAATTGGTGGCGAAATCATTATAGGAACCGATTGATCATTCGGTACTGGAGAAATCTTTTTCTTGTTATTTACTTCTAATTCTGCCATTTTTTTGTTAATCGCATCACTTAATTTCTTTTGAGAATCAAGTTTAGTTTCCTTTTCCTTTACGGCAATTGATTCTTTAATTGCTGTAGTTGAAGTGCTATGAGGGATGATAACAGCTGATGTTTGAGTAATTGTTTCTGTTGGAATTTGATTTCCACTCTTTAAGGCATTCCATATATCCGTAAAATTTTGATTCTTTTGTGGTCCATTATTATTATGTGTTCGGTTTTTATTTTGCAAAATTGCAGAGAAGCTTTCATTATGCCTTGGATGTGGTTCATTGTTACTCTTTTCGTGACGTTGAGTGTTTTCAGTTTTACTTGAAAATCGTTCATTTCCATTTAATGATTGCCCATGAGTAATATTAACGAGATTTTCAACAATAAGTCGTCCAGTTTTAATATTTCCATTTAAATCATCGAATAAGATCTCACAATATATATCTTCTCGATTAATGCAATCTTGTCGGACAGGATTTAAATCCTTTACTCGATTTATGCCGATAACTGTTCCTCTCATACCAACAGAATACTTTTCAGTTTCTCTTGCCACAACAACACGATCAAAAAGCTGATAGTTTGCATTAAAATCCGGTGCCTTTGTTGTTGTTTTAGCTAAAGCAGGAGCATAAACAAGATGCGGTTTGACTTGCATAGTTACTTTTCTCATTGGCATATCCTTTGTTTCCATAACTTGTTTAGCAATTTCATCAACAATTTCCTTTTCGATCGCTTCCGAACCAATTGTGCGTCTTTCCACCTTCATATGTGGCAATTGATTAAGCCATTTCATTAAGCTAGAAAGATTATCTTCTCCCTCAGTTGTTTCAAAGAAATCAGACTCAAAGTAAATATCATTATTTCCTCGTGAAGTTCTATTTTCCATGACTTCAAAAATTCTCGGAAATTTACAATAATATTCTTGGACTAAATTTAAAACTTTTTCGGAATATAACCATAATCGTTCCTTTTTTGTGTATCCAGCTAATTCTTCATTTTGCTTAGCGAATTTCATTTGAAGTCCAATATTCATTTTGGATTGTCCATCAGATATCTGTCTTTTCATTCCGGCAATAACCAAAACAGTGCCTGTTATACGATTAAGAACATTTTCAGAAATGTTCAACTTTGACGATGTTTGATATGAATTCATATAAGAATCTTTGGTTGTCAAATGTTTTTGCCATAAGCTTTCAAATGTCGGTTCTTCATGTACGGTAAGGCAAACCTTTACACGCCCAGTCTTTTCATAGCAATTTGTCTCAACAATTTCACCCATGCACGCATAATAGGGATTTGTCAGCATTATTATCTCAGTTCCAATTTTAAATGCCTCAAAGAGTGATAATTCTTCCTTGAACTTTTTACGATAAGCTTTAACATCAGTCACAATACATTGAATTGGATAAGCAGCTTCTACTCTGTTCCAAGTTCTTACTGTACGAAACATTCTAATTTTAGAATCAAAACGATATTCTTCTCCTGTAGCTTGTAAAACATGTACGATTGTTGAAATTTCTAAAGGATCAATTCCCATCCGATTTGCATGATGATCCTTAATAGCTTGAACGTCAACTTTCCATTTGTGTGAGTCCGTTTTGTCTGAATTTCCATCTGAAAAATATGTGATGTCTTTATTTGTGATTCTAACAATCTTGGCTTCAATAAGATGTGGCCAGCCGACAAATACAACTTTTGACATTAATTCTTTTACAAGAATTTCTATTGGCTTATCCATTTCAACCCTCGGTTCGACAACAATTATCATGTTCTCTTTTCTAGATGGCTGATCAAAGACTTTGACATGTTGAAGTCGCAATTCACTATGATATTTTAAATGTTTAAGCGTTGGAAATCCAGTAAAGTATACATTTGTTAAGGCACCTTTTGATGGTCCCAAAACTAAGTTCTCTCTTGGTACTTGAATTTCTTCACGATAAACTTTTTCCTCTTTACAAAATAAACTGCCAATGCTTGGAAAATTTTCTGGTCCTTCTAAGCTTCCTTGACTGGCACTAGAAAACGTATAAACATACATTGGACCATGCACATTTCTCTTTTTTTCTTCAGGCGTCAGTTCATTATCATATTTTTTAAGCGATTTAAGCAATCGTTCTTCATCAATAAATGGAATAAGCACCACAGCCTCCCATTCTTGATTTTTTCCATTTAAGTCTGTTTCAAAATCCGCAGGATAAAAATCAATAAGCTCACTATCTGGATGTGTCATCAACTTCTTATAACAATCGGGTACGTGGTCTTTACTTCCCGCTGGCAAAACACTCATTAATTGTTGGAATGGTAAAAACGGTTTTCCGAGTTCGAAATTAATTTTAAAGTCCTTAAAATCTCGCACATCACTAATAAATGGTGCATAATGATGTGGATAGAAATAACTCCAAGATTGAACACCATGATAATAATATGACAATGTCCACTGAAGTGCTGTTATATAGCATCTAGCTTGCTCAGCTAAAACTTCTGGAGTCATCTCTTCGTACTTCAACTTGCTTATGTAATAATTTCGACGATGCTGAAAGAATTCCTTCTCAAAAATCTCATCATCACTTAATCCGTCATTTCCTTGTTCGCGCTGAAAAACTTCATTAAATTCATCCTCATTTTCATCGGGACTATCAAACTCAAATTCTGTAGCTTTAACAAGATCCAATAAATCTTGATTTCCACCAAATGTATCATCATTTCGATTATTGAAACCAACTTGATGTTTCGTTTCTAAGAATTTTAAATCCTCATATTGATTAGAAAATGTTTCACGATCGAATTTTGAAAGATTGTCGATATAGATTTGTAAGCGTGGCAAATTCAAATATCCACCTTCATTAATATATCCATCCAGCTTTGGAAGTGTCTTCATATACGTATCAAATAACATTGGAAGTGCATCTGTTTGAATGTGGAGATTCGGAATGTGTGGAATAAAATCATTTCCTACTAAAAATCCCATCAAAACCCAGTCGTCGATTATCTTAAAAAAAAAGTTAAAATTAAATTTAAGTCTTTGTTTTAAAGAAATGCAACGGTTTTTAGGAATTCAAATTTGATAAAGGTAGGAAAAAAAAAATCAAATTTCGTCCTGTACACGTGCTTCATGCAACGGTTTTGCTTCTTACAGTAGCAAAAGATTAATTAAACTATATTTTTGATAGTAGCTTAGTAAAGAATTTAAAAAAATTTCAAGTTTAAAATATCTTTACAAAGCTAGTAGCTTATAACGAAAAAACAGGGTTGTAAAAAGCATATCAAAATTAATAAAATTATAATACGCTGTTTCAAATTTTTTTTAATAACTCGATAGAACTGATCTATCAAAACAAACCCGAGCTCTCATTATTAATCTACCTTTAAGATAACAGATTTTCAAAAATGTGCTTAAAAAAATTGGGTTTAAATGCTCACTTTTTCAATGTCATAAGTAAATTTAAGGTTTTCCTTTACAGGCTGAAACTCTAATTCAAGATAATCTCTCATTAAGCTCAAATGGAGAAGAAAAAATCTTTGCTGATCGACTGACTGTACTTTGTTATTCTTTTTTCCAAACTTTACTTCTTCTCGAAGCAACGAAAAATGTTTTTCATGGGAGCATAATCCGAGCATTATTAAATCTGCGTCTAATCCATACAAGCAGTGTCTAGTATTTGGATCATACTTCTTTTGCGACTTTATATATCGAATATGCTCCATGATTTTGTGCTCGCCTTCTCCAGGAGTCTAAAATTCATTATAAATGTCATTAAATGATTTTTTTTTTAAAAAAAGCTGTCTACAAACCTGATGACCACTTAGAATGACTTTACAGTTCCTCCAAGCCTTGCAAGTTGATATCTTTTGCTGAATAAAATAACGAAGAGCATTATCTAATCGACACATGAATGGTGTGCCTGGAGTGATGCAATTAGAATCGAATCTAGCCTCTTCAGGTAGTTGTTCTCCTTTTTCTTTTGCCTTTTTTTCTGCTAATTCGGCATCTTTGCTACTACGAAATCTTCGGCCTCTTTGTTGATTCATTTTAGCCCTAGGTGCAACTCCATCGACAGCCAGAAAAAACAATTTCTGAGGTTTAATCATGTTGAATAATGTTTCCAAATAAAAAAATATATCCTTAAAAATTTGCTCTTCTGTTATTCTAAAATGAATGTCATTATCATTCGGATGAGAGCAATTATGAATGATTCCATTCATATCCAGATATAAATTATCGAACTCTGGAACCTAAAGAAACATTAAATAATTTTATGAAATTAATACTAATTTGACTTCAACTTACTTGACTCTCTCTCACTAATTCTGAAAGACACGGATATCTTTCACTGATGTATCTAAAAAACTTAGGGACTCCCATTTTATCTGTATCTTGTTAATATTTACGTAAAGCACTGTGAAAAAAAGATAAATATAATTTTTTTTTATTAATAACTGAAACGTTGTCGAAGCAATTTCTGCTTAATAGAAATTAATGTCATGATCTCTTATATATATATTGTTTCTGTTCCTTTACTAAGATACACCCTACCTTTGATCCAAAAAATCTTTTTAATTATAATAGTCTAATGATTAAGCACACAAAAAATAATTAAAATTAGATTGGTTTTGCTTACATTTATTTTCTGTCGAGCTTTAAATAGTGCAAACTTTGTGAGAAACTTTAAATTGATATTTTATTATAATGTGATGTTCTCTCTAAACTCCTTTTAAATATAATTAAGTATTTTAGTTCTTTGCTTTTTAAAATGAAATTGTTTCTTTTCTAATGCAAATTTGGTAATTTTTTCAAAAACAATTTTTTTGTTGGTTATTCACATATGTTCAGTAGTTTTTAAATGGTTCAGCGACCGTTATTTTTTCTCACGAAGTTTTGAAACATCCAGTTTTATGATACATACATACATGCATTTCCAATTTTTTCCCTCTAATTCATTAAAATGGATTAAAATAATCTCAAAATCTGTCAAACACAAGCTTTTTATGTACTTCAAATTTTGAACTCAAATGCTTTTTGCCTTAAAAGAAATAATGTAATCGGAAATTGTATCAAGTTCAAAATTTAAGGGAAACAGCCATAACTTCAAGAAATAAACACATTCAGAAAGATAATGCTCAATTTCCGAAAATCATTTTAAGTATGCCATTTGTTTAATATAGGAACTGAAAAAATTTAATGCTGTGGCACATTTAAAGAATTTCCGTTCTAAGATTGTAAAAAATTCAATCGAAAAAATAAACGATAACGGGAAGAAGAATCTGATTCTTTAAAGTTCCAAAAAAAAATAATCCTCTCCAAGAAAATCTTGAAAATTTTTTAATTGGGGCCAGTCGAAAAAAAATTCTAACTTTGTAACGCTTAGTTGTTCCATAAAATCACTTTAATTAAGCGTGTCCTCATATAGTAAAAATTTTATAGGAGCTGTTTCAAAGCTTATATAATTTCAGTCTATTATTTCTTCAGTATTAAGGATTTTGATAAGAAGAGAAAAATGTTTATTATTATTATGGCAAGGCTATCCGGAGGCGCCCGTGGCGCCTCTTATCAGGGTTAAAATTTGATTACTATTATGTAAATAACTGTAAGACGCAAATAACCATAATGTTTTTAAGGTCAATCCTACCACAAAACTTCACATGGCTTCACACACCTCCTCAAACTCGGACTTAATCCCACAAAAATTTTATAAATGTCTTCACAAAACCCCTCAAACTCGGACCCCCTTAATCCCATTAAATTTTTAATTTCCCCACTGACACCCACCTTGCCCCCATCCCCACCTGACACCCACTTTGCCCCCCCCCCCCCACACACACACAACTGACACCCACTTTGCCACTCCTTAAATTTTTGTCTTCACACGGCTTCACAAATGTCTTCACATTGCTTCCGTTCCAGGGTCAGTGAATCAGTGAGTTGGGCTTTTATATTATTATGATGATTGTGTAGTTATAAAACAATAACACGTGGTCCCTTAAGCTTTATTTTTCAGATTCCTAAAAATATTGCCAAAATAAAGAAGAGAGAAAACATAAGGATCATGGTAGCGTGAACTGTATACGTGATAAGAAAACTGTATTATTAAACGAAAAGCTCAAGGTTGGTTGAGGAGGGAACGATGAGTCTTGATAAGATTTTTATTTGTGTAGCATAAAGATTAAAACATTTTTTATGTAAGAAGGTATTAAGGCATCTTAACAAGATTAATATTAAGATGAGAATCTTGAAATAAAATCGATAATTTACTAGGAATTTCATACTTATTTGACTTTCTAAATCTATTGGATTAATAGAATTTAGACTTTAGATAAACACGTTGTCAAACGAACTACTGCGCTTTCTTCCAATTTAATTTAAGCGAAAACTTTCCTTGTTTCAAGTTTTCTCTATTCACTTCTATTTCCTTATCAGTAAGCTGGCAGCTATAAATGACTTTTCATAATTAATTATTCTTTGCAAAAGCTTCACAATTCCTTCGAGGCAGAAACGAATCCAATTAAAGTCAGAATAAGCTCGGATTGCACACATTTTATAAATGTAAAAAAAAGTGCAATGGCAAATCTGTTCAACTTTTATTCTCGAGATAAAGTTCTGAATGAGTGTATGAATATGTATGTGAGGCTTTTTAATGAACTGGGATGATAAAAATTTGTGATGCATTACCAAAAAAAAAAAAACGGTATGGCATAGAATTTAAATGTCCATCAAATGTTGACATCCATTAATGATTATTACTCTGTGGTTCATTATTTTCACAAATTAAAATTTTATTTTCCCATTTCGTTTCCTATTACTTTATGTGTAAAAACTTATGTTGCAAAACATTCTTTTTGTACACATTTTCTGTTGTTGCTTCTCATTAAAGTTATTATACAACTCATTATCTTTTTTTGCTAGAGGTTGTTGGCAATTCTTTTACGCATTCTATATTTTCTGCTGCTTTCTTTGCTTTTATGTTCACTCGCAGTATGAAAAATACTTTCTAGTCATTATGATAGGATAATACAAGTGAATCGGATATAATTTAATCTTCACCAGCAGTGATTCAAGAATTAAATAAGTATGTTTATGGAAATATATACACTAAATCAAGACATAAAAAAATAAAATGCCTTGGTTAGACGAAAGTAATGTTGAGGTTTTGGTTGTTTTAGATTAAAATTGTTAAGGTCAACATGGGAGCTTCCTTAAATTGTAATTTTTATGCAACTTTCATACATTTTATTCATATCTCATTTTGATATAATTTATTTAAAGCCGATATTGCTCTAGACTCTTCTTTTTTTCTTTTCTGTAAATAAATACGATAATAGATTTTTCTCAAACCATTGAGCCATGATAAAAATAGGAGAAAATGTAGATATCCAATCGATTGAATGCGGAGAACTAATTAAGTATAGAACTAGTGTATCGGGTAGAAACCCAATGCGGATATATTTACACCGTACCATCAAAAGTCTTATGGATAGACCAAGATTTGCTCAGCATAAGTTTGAAGGGTGGGCGTGAAGTACGGCCGAGACCCATATCGACACAGTTCAAAAGATATACCTAATTTATGTCATAATTATGTCAGCTACAAAAACACTTAGTTTGAATTTTGTCACCCTCGGGAACACTATGAACCAGTATAGCTGATTTTGGTCCAACTCTCGGCCATACTTCACACTTATTTGAACCACATTTTCTCGTAAATGTTAAATTATTATAAAAAAGTAATTAATCCTTAATTATGTCGCTATTTTGTCAAGTGTTTTAAGATAAAGAATTTGTTTTTTGGTTTCCACAGTGAAGAGTATGAACAAAATTCAGATGGGGTAGTCAAAATTTTAGATTTCGTTTTTTTTAGGCTATGCATTACAAAAAGTAATATTGATATGTGATTTTTGTCAGAATTATGTCAATTCAAATAATTTGACAAAAGTAAACCATAGAAAATCAATTTTCAATTTTGGACTAGGGGCGACCCTAGTCAAAATCAATTTTCTCACTTTTTTCTTCGAGGGTTTATACGAATGGATTGAAACTATGCATAAATATGCATTATTTATTAATTCAGAAATGTGTGACCTGAGGATTAGAATGCTCATACAAAGTTTTACTGTATTTAGATTCATCCTCGAAGAAAAAAGTGAAAAACTAGATTTTGACTGGACCTGTCCCAAGTTCATAATTGAAAATGTATTTCCTTCTTGGTTCTTTGCTCAAAAAAATTTTAGGATGTTTTATTTGTATTTGTTTTAAGCACTAAAATATTTATGCAAAGTTTCAATCCATTTGGATAAACTTTCGAAGAAAAAAGTGATAAAATTGATTTTGACTAGGGTCGCCCCTATTCCAAAATTGAAAATGTATTTCCTTGTTGGTTCTTTGCTCAAAAAAATTTTAAGATGTTTTATTTGTATTTGTTTTAAGCACTAGAATATTTATGCAAAGTTTCAATCCATTTGGATAAACCCTCGAAGAAAAAAGTGAGAAAATTGATTTTGACTAGGGTCGCCCCTAGTCCAAAATTGAAAATGTATTTCGTTCTTGGTTCTTTGCTCAAAAAAATTTTAAGATGTTTTATTTGAATTTGCTTTAAGCACTAGAATATTTACGCAAAATTTCAATCCATTTGGATAAACCCTCGAAGAAAAAAGTGAGAAAATTGTGTTTGACTAGGGTCGCCCCTAGTCCAAAATTAAAAATGTATTTCCTTCTTGGTTCTTTGCTCAAAAAATTTTAAAATGTTTTATTTGTATTTGTTTTAAGCACTAGAATATATATGCAAAGTTTCAATCCATTTTTATAAACCCTCGAAGAAAAAAGTGATAAAATTGATTTTAACTAGGGTCGCCCCTAGTCCAAAATTGAAAATGTATTTCCTTCTTGGTTCTTTGCTCAAAATAATTTTAGAAAGTTTTATTTGTATTTGTTTTGAGCACTAAAATATTTATGCAAAGTTTCAATCCATTTGTATAAACCCTCGAAGAAAAAAGTGACAAAATTGATTTTGACTAGGGACGCCCCTAGTCCAAAATTGAAAATGTATATCCTTCTTGGTTCTTTGCTCAAAAAAAATTTAGGATGTTTTATTTGTATTTGTTTGTAGCTCTAGAATATTTATGCAAAGCTTCAATCCATTTGGATAAACCCTCGAAGAAAAAAGTGACAAAATTGATTTTGACTAGGGTCGCCCCTAGTCCAAAATTGAAAATGTATTTCCTTCTTGGTTCTTTGCTCAAAAACATTTTAGGATGTTTTATTTGTATTTGTGTTGAGCACTTAAATATTTATGCAAAGTTTCAATCCATTTGGATAAACCCTCGAAGAAAAAAGTGAGAAAATTGATTTTGACTAGGGTCGCCCCTAGTCCA